TAATAGAGTAAGTTATTATATGTCATAACTCATATTAGTAACGATTACATTATAAAAATTTTATTTCTAGGGGGGAAACCAGCTCACCCTAGTATGTACTTTTTTGTATATTTAAATAAAAACAAAAACAAAAAAATAAGATTTTTTAATGTGAATGAATGTCATTTCTAAGTAAATTGGTATAGATTTAACATGTTAAGTAACATGTATAAGTATTGGTATAAAATGCAAATACCTGGAAAAAAAAATTGTATCACATACTCAGTAAAGCTATAATTGCAGTTTGTTTCTATAACACTAACTTTTTCTGAACATTTTTATGTTTTTGATTTGTATGAACAAAATAAATTATAATACCTACCGTATATTATATTTAATATATATTTATCTAGATGCAATTAAAGATAATTACATTTTACATCTATCTAGATTAGATGAGTATTATTAAAATTATTATTATTCATGTAAAATGGATATGATTTAAATAAAATGTTTGGAGATAAGTAAATGTGTCATCTATGATAAAAATAATAGTCATAATAGTTCACTAGATAAGATAATATATGAGTAATTTTTTATCTAGATAAGTCTCAATACTGTATTTAACACTATAAATAGGCAATATTCATTATTTTAATTTGTTATAGCTGCACACGGTGACTGGAGACAAGTATAGGTATCCTTCTATTTCTCATCTCCTCTTGCCACAATAATTTGACATTATTTAAAAAAGTCAAATTCCAATTAAAATAATGAGTAATACATGTTGCCATTGCCTACCAATGTAATATATATAGTGTTATTTTGTCTATGTTAATAGGTAGTAATCTAAACCGAACCTTATTGGTTGTTAACAATAGTGTTACAATAAGCAGTATAGGTAGGTTCTATCTATGGCGTAAAATAAATTAGAGAAACCCAGAGTATTCCTCCGTGGAAAATGCACATTGACATAAACCTAGAAATCTCTGAATTCAAAAAGAAAGCACTAGTACTACTATGTACTGAAACATTTTTCAAAACACATAACAAAAATACCTTAACTACAAACACATATAATTTGATGCATTAAAACCAGACCAAAACGTTAGAATATCTATATACTCTATAGTAACTGAAAACTTCACCTCTACCTACATACTTCCTCCTGAATGTTCTATTAATACAGCCGAAGCATTAGCTATGTACATAGTAGTACAAAATCCGATTAAATACAATGAAATGTTGCACAAAAATTATTCAATACTAATTCATAAATAACCGAACAAATCCAACAAACATAATATATAAAGTTATTTAAGAAAAAACTTACGTAGCATGTCAAAAAGGAATAGAGATATCCTTTCTATGAATACCTTTACTCCGTGGAATAGACGGCGTCGAATTAGTAGATCAATAAGCATCCATAGCAGTCTCATCTATCGATACCCAAACTCTAACTTTATAAGCACATTTACAGATTTAAAAAGCTTATTCAGAAGATTCTATACCAAAAATGTCAAAATCATTGAACAAAACTAAACACCAAATTAAACAATACAAATCAATATCCAAGTATGGGAAACTCCGGTCTAAACAGAAAAGATGAAATAATTTTGAATCACCTTCGAATTGGGCACATATTTATAACACACAATCACCTCATATCTTGAACCATGGTAGATACCTACTTGTGCCCACTTAAAAATTCTACCAAAACAAACACACACGTAGGGATCTGCCATGCCCAGACGGCGATGTCGCCATGTCGGGCTCTCTCTCCGGACACCGTGACTTCCAGAAGAAAAATGCCGCCCGTGGCCGAGTTTGAACCGGCGACGATGCGCGTCTCAACCGACGCCTTACTCCACTCGGCCACTCCGTCCACCATTAAACATTTATTTGGCACTTATTTTATTAATTCCAGTGGTTATAAATGAAAACTGCATTAAACACATATAATTATGCATAAATCAAATTTTTGACTTATTCTAACTTGGTCAGTTTTTAAAATAGAAAAAACTTTTTATACAATAAATGTTTATTAAAAATACGCTACCCGAATCTGCGTAAAAACCTGGGGTTGCCGTTTAAAAAAAAGTAAGTCGTATTGCGCATGCGCGTATAGAGTGAGCTAAAAATTTAAAACTGGTCGGAAAATATATATTTAAGTGTTCCCTATCACCTCTTGAAAACCCCATTTCAATACAAATTCACCCATCTGAGATATTCAGTGGCACCATATCTTGATCACACTGTATATAGAATATAGATATTCCTCACCGCTTTAGAAGGAACTAGTGTCCTTGCCGGAACGTGTTCGATTCTACGCATTTCCACGTATTTGACATACATTAAGTGGCACAAATTGGGGGAATGTCTACAGTCTGTATACCCGAAACAGGTCCCTTCTCTCGTATCGTGGAGAATAGTAGCTGAACTTCAAAACAGAAAAAAAAATAGAGATATGACAATCATTCAAAACCATAGTATCTATACCAAATTAAATAATGCAGATAATACAATTTTTAAATTGCACTCCTGAAGAACTTTATATTTTTAAATAACATTTATTTATGCTCCAATACCATAAAATAAAATACTCAGTTACTTTTGTCCATATCCATATTATCTTATAAATAATTTTAAGCTATCTTATGTAGATATTATTTTTGTCTTATTAGTTTATTATCACGTTATATTATAATGATTAATGTTTATATATTATTATTGGTAATTAAATTTAAATTAAGTCTAAAACAACAGTAATTGTATTAATATTTGACAGTACTTTTTTATTCTTGGGACTTTAATTTAACAATTTTAGACAAATTATATAATTATTATAAATACATTTTTTTTTTTACTATCCAGAAACTTTTGGAGGATTAAGTATGAAACATTTGTTGTGTTTTTTATTTCACTAAACTTTAGAACTCATTTTTGTTTTATAATTTCTTAGTATATATTTTACAATATCAATAGTTTTTTTATTTTCTCAACATTTTATTTAGTAGTAATTGATCAGCTACATTGTTTGTAGCTATACCTAATAAATAATAATATTTTACTTACTTGGTTTTTAATTGCGATTCCGTTAACGTTTTCAGTATGAGTTTTAGTATATTATTACCTATTCAACATTATTTTCTTTATACGCTATATTATTATTTAAACATGCTTTGATTTTTCATAACTTTTGGCACAATGGTACCTAAAAAATGTACAGCCTTTTATTTTTATAAATATTGTGGAGTGGTCGTGATACCAATAGTTGTAAATTACATGGATATAAAAAAATATATTAGGTATATATTATAACTAACTACCTAATATAGTAAGAAATTAAAATACAAATTAAGTTCTAATAAAAATTTGGTTTTTTTATCCTCGCTTCTCCTCTCTGAGAGGTGAAATCCTCCATAAAACAATTACCGATCACAAATGGTCACATCTCGCACCTACTGGTCCTACATACTGGCCCACCCACACCAATAGGCATCCAGATATTCTGGACTTCTTTATATATTCCACCCCAAGTATCTTTCCTCGGTCGCGGTGAATTGATCGCGGGTGAATTTATCGTGAATATAATTGTTCGCTAGGATAATTGGTCGTCAAACGAACAATTTTAGTTTTTTAATTATTTTATTATAGTTATTGTTTTATTATACTCATTACATAGTTAATATTAATATAATATATTATATACACATCCGAGTTTTATGTTTATTATTTTAGAAGATTCAAATACTCTTATTTATTTTTAAATAACGTACAGTAAATCCAATTTACAATGGGAATTCAGATATAATAATAGACTAAGATATAATAATCTTAAATACCATTATATTATGATGTACACACGAGATAATTGAACTAGCGTGGCAATAACTTAGATAAGCTTATACGATCGTTATCGATTTATCGTCAACTATATTCCTATGGTCGTACCAATTTGTCATTACATACTTGCATTTGTTAGTCCATGCTAGTAGGTACGTTATTGTGTGTGTTTACTGTTTTTTTATGCAGTACTTTTCTATATAAAACATTTAAAAAACGGTAAAGCACCTGGTCATGATTTCATAACTGCTCAACTTTTAAAACAACTACCACCCAAAACAATTAATCCTATTATCATATATATTCAATTCTATATTCCACCTTTCTTACATGCTCAAATAATACTCATTCACAAACCAGGCAAACTTCCTGAAAACCCTTTCTCTTACCGACCTATAAGCCTTCTTTCTGTCGTAGGTTAACTATTTGAAAAACTACTCCTGAAAAAAAATCTAAACACTCCACAATAAATCAACAACACAGAGTCGTCGATCAAATTTCATCAGCATTCGAGAGCAAAAAAGTCTGCATTGGTATTTTCCTAGATATCTCACAGGCTTTCGACCGACGTTGCCACCCTGGCCTAATCTTTAAATTAAAATTCTTCTTTCCCGCTCCGTATTACCTACTAATAAAATCTTATCTAAATCAAAGAACATTTATCACAAAAATTAACTGTGCCCTTTCTAACACTCAAATAGCTACTGCTGGTGTCCCCCAAGGCAGCGACATAGCCCCCTTCCTTTCAATGTCTTTACCCACGATCTATATTTAAACGAAAACACTCTACTTGGTACATTTTTGGATGATACTGCTATTCTTGCTATCGACAAAGACAGCGAAAAGCTGCCCAACAAATCCAAAACCACCTAACTGTGCTTAACGCCTGGTTTCATGACAGAAAAATTTAGGTTAATCCATCAAAATCCTCTCAATATACTTTCACGCTTCGATCCTTGGAAAGCCCTGCAACCTTTATTGTAGATGCACAAATCCCATCTTCCACACAAACTAAATATCTGGGTTTAATTCTCAACAAACGTCTTACATGGGGTCCCCACTCAAAAAATAAGCGCAAAGCTCTCAATTCGAGACTTCACCTTCTTAGACCATTACTCCACTCAAAGCTCTCATTAAAAACCAAAAGAACAATCTATATGGCTCTTCTAAGACCCATGTGGTTCTATGACATTCAACTTTGGGGTTCTGCCAAACCGTCAAATATCAGAACAATTCAGGCATTCCAGTCTACATGTCTTCGATTATTATCAGGTGCAACCGGGTTTATAAGTAATGAATCACTTCATAAAGACTTCTGCATTCCAACCTTAAATATTCTTGATATGATCACCTACAAAAAAACCCACAAAACCTACAGCACTCACTCAAATCCTATAATCACTCAACTATCATGCAAACAAATCCCAGGTAATCCACCCAGGAGCCTGAAAAGGAACTACTGTAGAGACCTACTCTCTCTTTAAATCGATTTCCACGGGGTGCCACCATTGGGTGACTTCCCCCTCCCGCTAATCATCCCCATCCTATTTACTTATTGTACTACATGTAATTACAGATTGTTAATAAAATTTTTGTTCAATAAAAAAAAAAATAAAAATATTTTCATTTTTAATCATAAAATTGTATGAACATTTTATAACTAATAACTACAATTCTTATTTAATTTCAGTTGCAGATAGTACGTAATTAGTTTTAATTTATATAAAAAGTAGAGTGGGAGTGTCAATTCGTCCATCAATTTATACTAAAAATTAAAAGTTATCTTCGACGCTACTATGGCAGAGTGTTACCCAATTACCTAACAACTTTTTTAATTCAGGGCTTGAAACCTGTTACTGGTTCTTAACAAAAAATGGTCATTTCCCGGAATTTTTGAAAGTTAAAATCGGTTACCGTTCTTTTAAACCTAATTTTATTCTTAGTTATCGGTTACCAGTTACCGTGACGATTTTTAGGTTAACATAAAACATTTAATAACACAATAATATGTTTTGTCAGGTTATGAACCAATTACCAACTACACACGTACAATTTGTTATGTTTAATTAATTTTAGCTACTTAAATAATGATGAGCAACTATAATATTTAACTTCTTAAAACTATTTTTAAAACACAATACATAGATGTGATAAAATTAAAAATTGTTTATAGAAAAACGATATTGAATCAGTTACCGGTAACCGACATTTTTTTTTAGCTGTTATAGCTTAATCGGTAACCTGTAATAATGAATATATAGGACCGGTAATAATGTTACCTTACAAAAAGTCCATTTTTAAATAATATCACATTAATAACTAATTATTATTATTTGTATTTATTGTAGTTAATTTATTGAAGGGTAAGTGTATATTCAATTTATAACCATTGAGTTTAATTTTTCACCATACAAGCTAATTAAATGTTTTTAAAGGTTAATTAATATATAGATTATACCAACTGATATATTAAACTCTCTAAAGAATTAAATTAAAAGTAAAAACTAATCAACTATTCAATATTTTAATTTTTAATTCTTGAAAAAAATACAACATGAAAGCAATAATGTTTATATTATCAAACGTTGAATCATAAAAAAGTATAGAATATTATACTTTCCCAATAAGATAATCTATATAAAAGAAGCAACGTTTATGTACGTATAAGCAATCCATAGATAAGTCAAATGGTTCAGTCAGCACTCATGTTTCTCAACTTTTGACTTATGATTTACGACCATCATATATACATATAGGCATGTTTTAATAATTTTTGCTTAAATAATTATGGTTTGAATAAGTAAGTACCTAATTATGGAAGTATCTATTCTAAAAAACTGGCGAAGTTGGACTTCCGTATAATAAGATTTAATTGTACATCGTCATTCAATAAATAAGGAGATTCAATTAAAATGTTTATCCTGATGAATAATTTGTTGAATCTATTGAATATTTAATTTAAAGAGTTATTGACTTAGGTATGATGTATATAATGAAAATTAACCAAAACAAATTGAAAACTGACACATTGTAGTTTTATTTTTACAGGACTAGCAAGAAGTTACAAAGGTTTTCTGATGAGACGTATGTATAATAACTAATAAGACGTGTGTGTTAAAAATTAAAATTCATTTTAGGGAAGCTCAGGGTAAGGTGACGTGTTGGGTAAGATGGCAAATTGATAATATCAAAATAACGATATTACCGATAATCTGCAGAATTACTAAAGAAGTAGTTATTTAAAAAATTAGTAAACCTTAAGTGCGTCAAAATAACCCTGAGTTCCCTTACTGTAATAGGTCTAACAATATGTAGTGTTTACATAATCAACATCCAACAGAGCCACATATGTCCTGATTGAGCGTAAAATAAGAATATGGTGTTTGAATGCTGCTACAATTGCTGCTTATATTGAATATTTATATGATAACTAAATTATAAAAATAATTACAAACACTTTGTGTCGAATAAAATATTACATGGTCTGCGGTAAAAATTGCTATTCATATACCTACGTATAAAATCGAGATTGTTGTAGGGCAATCTAATAAACTTAATCAAAAAATCTAATACCAATTTTTGTTTGCTGTTTTAGAACCGTACCAGTCGATTAATTCTTTCTGTGTTCTAAATATTCAAGCGGCTAGGGAAAATATTTTTAGCGAAATTGAAAACTTGTCGTACGCCGGATACACATTTGACGCCCCACCAGAATAAATCGGAGCAGTTATTTTATTTTTGGAGAACCACTACCGGAACTGATATTCACCGATAAATTCAAAATGTCAAAGCCCCTGGTCAAAACTAATCTGTGTATTTAATATAATTTATTGTAAAACATATAACTTGTAGTAGAATCTCAGGTGTGCTGAAACATTTTATAATTATAATAAATAAATAAATAAAAACAGCATTAACGTTAAGATTTAAGCATATGTAATTCAATATTTTATAATGTATCACTAATATTATTAGTATTACTATTTTTAAAATAATGTATGCTGTGTCTATGACAACCTATGTGATTTAGGCAGCTCGCTTCAAATAAATAAAGTTGTTATAAATTATAATATAATTCCTTTTTATTTGTTAGTTATTTAATAAGTAATAATCGCCTAATGATTCTAAAAGTGTGTTAAAATTAAAATACTAAACTATTTATTACATTGAAACTGTCTTTCATTGTTTCGTATTTGTATTCAATGATGAACAATATTCAGCACCGAATACCAATTAACAACAACGCCGATTAACAGTGTTTGAAAATGTTCAATATTTTGTATAACATATTTAATTGGTACCAGTATTATTTTTTCCAAAATGTATTAGTTAGGAAGTAATAAGTATTCATAACTCGGTACTAATACTCTTGTTCCCATTCAAGATGTAACTAGTATTGGAAGTTTTTAACTGTAATAGGTAAGTTATTAAAAAACATTATTTTTATTCTTATTTATTGATAACATATTTTAAAGTTTGAGTTTTCGATTGTTTAACTTTACTGTTGGTGATATATATTAAAAAATAGAGTGTGGCATAAATAATTGCATCGATATATTTTGTTGGATGAAAATCCATAATATGCAGGGCTTGAAACCAATATTTGATACCGATTTTGAATACCGGTTAAAACCGTTAAAAACCGAAATCGATACCGAAACCAAAAACAAAATCTGAAAAATAAATACCGATATCCGAAACTGAAATCGAAATCGAAAAAAATAATTACGGTTTCAAGCCCTGATATTTTTATGATTTAATCGTTTAAACTTTAAATATGCTGGTTTGAAACAGGTTCAGTGTTTTTAGCTTTCATTTTTATTTTGATTTATATAATATACAATATACATACTAAGTATATAATACTTCTCTCATCAACTTTTTTGAGTAACCAAATGTATCAAAAAGTGGGCAATATTTCAAGTTAAGTGACAAGCGTGCACTCCGTCGATTCAAGCGTGGACGTCACTGCTGTGATCACCTTCACCTTATTACACCTTCACAGGACAGTTTCAACTTTCAACCTTATGAATTTGTCTCTGTCGTAGAACATAATATAATACGTTTTATGTATCTATAGTAGTATAGTCTCTATGATTGGTATATTCATACAAAAAACAAATAATATAATTCCAACGCTGTTGTATTCATGGCTAAACATATAAGCAAGTCAGCAAGATGGCCAATGTTCACTACAACTAAATGTATTATTATGCCAATTCTTGCAGTATATAAAATACACAACCACGTGATTACTTTAAACTTCAATCTTATTATTTTATTATTTTCCAAAGCATAACCTAATATCTCCCTATTTAATGTATTATATTAATTGTTTCGAGTTAATTCATTTTAAACTTGAGCCTTTCAACTCAATGCCTATAAGTTCCACCGACTTGACCTCAGGGCTTACATATCCTGCGGCTTATAGGTCACGAGTCTAGTGTTCCCTGGATTAGTGACCGACAGCGGACCTTTATATTCTGTCTCAAATCCTCGCGTTATTGACCACCATTGCCTACGTAAATGTTTAGCTAAGTTTTTTTTATATAATATATTCTGTCTGATTGCCATCTTCATAGATAATAATATATACATAGATAAGATATACCATGTATTTAAGTGTGATCGAAGAGCATACTAGTTACCGAAGTGTTTATATAATTGGGTAATAGCTAATAAGTGTGGTATGATAAACCAAACCAATAAAATACTTAATAACATTAATACAATCATAATAATAAAATACCCATATATTTTTAATAATAAATTAAAAACATTGACAAAATAATAGGAGGTAATTACAATGATCAAAAAACCTGTTTGTGTCAGTATATACGACCGAAGTAAATACTCTAATGAATATTTAACTTTGATTGGAATATAAAGTGGTGGCTTGTAATTAAAATATTTTGTAGTTCATACGCAGTGGTGACTCGTGATGTTTAAAGTAAATAGTATGCAGTTACTGAAAAATTTCTTAAAAAAAAAAATATTAGTAAATTTCAAATTCAAAATTTTAAAATGAAAAAAATAAAAAATTAAGGATGGAGCTAAAAAAAAAAATGCCAATTTCTTATCACTACAGATATATCTGTATAGTCGAATACGACTAAGTATGGTATACGGTAACAGCGTTGCTATCCCACATCAAAATATATATTAAAATAATAATATGTTAAGTTTGTATTTTATCGAACAATAACTAAACGATTTCGGGCGTGGGTATTGACACATACACATCTTTTTTTAAAATTAATTTAACCTACTGTATAAGGCCACGTATATTAACAATTATTCATAATATGTTTGAAAATGCCTATAGTCTCTGCCACATGTTTATTGTTACTGAATAAACAATGAATGTACATTGCTTATTTCATTTTACGAAATAGAATATTTTTTGTTGAATTTCATATATCAACATTAAAATTTGAACTTTATAGTATTAAGTTTTTAAAGCATAGATAAGTAGACTGAAGTGGTTTGGTTCTATTTACTTAGAACTTATACACTGCTTAAATAAAATAAGTCCCTTAATTTATTTTTTTTTTAAATTTAGGTGTAAAATTTTATATAAGTATCTGATTGAAAACGTTTGATAGGAAAATACAAAGTTTCTCATAAGATGTTCGTACCCCATTTGAAAAATATAGAAAATACCTAGGTACGTGGTCATAATATAGTTAACATAAAAATGTTTTTGGGCTGGATACTGGTTTTAGGTTTCTGACCGATATTTTGTAAGGTTTTCGTCGTCATGGTTATAACTTGTTAATAAGTACATATTTATGGTTCATAGATTTTCCTTTTAGTGGAAAAATACCGAGTAGCACGCACGTTTAACATTATATAAAACTGGTTTTACCAGAAAAAAAACAATGAATGCGATCTTCTTAACTTTTGAAGTTCAAATTTTGTGAATATTGGCTAGGACGTATTAAATAACGTTAGTAGAATTATCATTTGTTAATCATAAAAACCTGATCCACTCTACTATTTCCTTAATCATAACTTTATAAGCATAGGTAATGAAGTTTTCTGAATATTTCGAATCATTTAAACCTACTTATACCATAAAATTATTCAGACCGTTCTAGGGTACTCAATTATTGACTTATAAGTTATAACTTATAATTTAAGAATAGCTAGTTATATTAAATATAATATTAAAACACTGTCTAATTACTATATATAGGTATAATCAAATACAATATTTATCGGGGTTGAAACCAGTTAGTAGTTTTTACCGAAAACCGGCAATTTCCCTGATTTTCGGGGAACCTACAATCGGTTACTGTTATTATAAACCTATTAGTATTCCTATTACCTATGAGCTAAAATACTATTATGTTTAATTTATTTCAGCTACATAAATGATTATATTATATATTATATTATATCGTAGCTATTTTAATGGTTTAATAATCAATAGCTTCTTAAAACTATTCTTAATACTTACTATTATATCTTAGTTGCTTTTTCCCTAGTCTATGTTCTTTTAATAATAATTCAAAAAATTGGTATTCTGAATCTTGTAGGGTGAGGTTGGCAACACCACCATCCTACACCTCTGACGCCGCACTGTTGTGTGTGTGTGTGTGTGTGTGTGTGTGTGTGTGTGTGTGTGTGTGTGTGTGTGTGTGTAGGTGTGTGTGTGTGTGTGTAGTTCGTTACGACTCACTCACTTATGTACGTTGTACGTAAAGCACTTATGAACGTTTTGTTACTTATGAATTATGTTTTAATATTTTAATGTTGAATAAAGTTTTCTTTTAAATCTTATGTATTTGATTTATGTTGATTAATAATGGTTCGGCGTAAAAGCAACACCGCCTACAATTTATATTTTATACCTAACTATAAGTTATAATATAAAATATCGTTTTTAGGTAATGACGGTACTCGATAGTCCCGATCTCCCCCATCGTACATTGTACTGGGAAATCTAAAAATAGCTTGATTCCTACAACAAAACAAATATTGTATTAAGTACTAAATCGTTGTCTGTCTCTGATAACTTGCGGGGACAAAGTAGTAGAACCTTTTTTTAGAAAACTTAAACTTAATTGGTAACCTGTAATTTTGAATATAGTACCGATAATAACAACCCCTGTATACAACTTTACTTTATATTGTATTGGTCTTCAAATACATCATAATAATATATGATATAGAGTCAAAAATTAAAACTACCTATAAAGCAGTTAAATATTTTCCACTATCAAAACAATATTATATTATTATGTCAACTGCGTGATTTACACGAAATATGGTGACAGTTCAGAATAGCCGAATAACCATTTCGAAAGTGAGCCCCATTGCCTCACATTAAGTTGGCGGGGACAGTGACTGTGTCATCGTGGTTTTTCTTGACATGACCCAAACCGCTGTAAGAACCGAAATGTGAATAGTCTCCTGCAAGGCAAGAACCACCATGGCCAGAATAACCAACAGGTGGAGCAGAGTGTTAACAATGTCCATGAGAAGAAGCGACGTGGTATCAATCACCACTACGGTTCCTCTGCAGTTGTATGAATACCTACCAATGAACAATTTCCGAAAATGCTTAGTCAAAACATTTTTTTCTGAACCTTGGAAATTAGAACAATGAAGATTTTTATCGAAATCTTAATTTTGAACATTCATAACTTGTTTTGTATTCATTCCTATGGTTAAAAATATAATACAAAATTAATAGTAAGTTTTTGTTGTTGAAATTAAAATTTTAAAGAATATCCACAATAATGTTTGCATGATCACCTGAAGATTAAAATTCCTAGTTTTTACTCCTTACAATGGCTTAGCACCCTTACGAACTTTATTCAGCGTTATTCTCAGCATTAGTCCACCTAGATTTGATTTGAATTTTAAATAAACGGACTATCGCAAGTCAAGGATGAGATACATTTAAACCTACACCCATAATATAAGTATTATTAAAATATTTAAAATTATTTAAAAAAATTAAGAACGCAACTCGGGGGCCCTATATTAATTTTCTGTCCAATAATAAATAAACACTATTTACTCAGACGTTAAAATAAAAAAAATCAATATAACAGGTGTGTATAACGTTTGTCGAACAATGGGAAATAATGTTATTCTCTTGTATGATAAATAATAAAACAATTTATTTGGAACATATCTTTTTTGTGCTGAAAGGGTATGGACTAGGATCAGATCGCATATTAAAGAAATCGAGAAATATTGTTTTATATCATTCATTATTCAACGTTCTCATTATTTTTATTGTTTTCTTATATTAAATCGAAATGATTTTTTTGAAGCATAGCTTAATAACATTTACAACTTTAATTGTTGCAATTTGGGTCATGCCAATTACTTCAGTACCAGATCCTGAACTTGCACATTCAGACCTTAATGTAGTCGAGTTGCGAGGTATGAAATAATTTACTGATATAATATGTGTTATGATTATATTTGTATTATTATATACTATTCAGTTTATATTTATCATCAGTGTTTGTAACTTCTTTTAAAATTGATTTAATAACTGAAATGAATTATTATAATGTTGCTAAATCCTCAGAGAAAAACAAAATGTATGCCATTTATTAGATTTTAATTGTATACAATATAATGATGTAAGTAGTGAAATTTTATAAATACAGACTTTGTAAAAATTAGATATTTTTTTGATTTAAGAGAAAATATTAAATGTTAAATACGTACAATTTGTAAAAATTAATTTGATTATAAGTATTATATTATTTGATTATATGTATACCTTTATCAAGCTGTATTATATTTGTATAACTCATAGGTACAATTATTTTTTGACATATTGTATCAATTTGATTTTGCTTAAGTCAAGCAACACTAAATAAATAGTATCTACCTACAACAACTTATATTTTTGTTTAGTCTAATACTGTTAGTAATTCGACAAAATTTACTAATAAAAATTATTGTTTACTTTTTAGAGACATGCAGAGGTAATAGTTTTAATTAATAATTCATATTTATGATATCTGCTTAATTAAAATAATTAAAAAATTGACATATTATAATTTATATCGTGTTTTCTTAAATAATGTTTGAGATTAATGACCATTATCCTAATTGTCCATTTATGAAATTCTGAATCTATTTTTGATTGAAGTTTATTTCAGTTTCAAATTAAATTTATCATATTCATAAATCAGTGTATAAGTAGTATAATAAAAGTATAATATTAAAATATACGAATGTATTACATTTTGCCAGAGATACCTATACGAAAATAATTTTCAAGACATTTCTATCTGGAAATGTAATGAGTATTTTTTTTGTGAAATAGTCTTTCGAGATTTTTTAATTATTAATTATTTATAAATAAACTATTGACTTATTGTATTATACAAACTCTTTAAAACCAACACACAATGATTTATTTATACTAAGTAACTATAGTTATTTTATATTTAATACACAGCGCCAGTTTGTTAGACCAATTCAGGTTTAACAAAAACTATTCTAATTTCTAATGAAAAACAATTACTAAAATACTAAATATAATAAATCAATTGGAAGCTATTAGTCTTTAAGGCGCAGGGAACCGATGCCATTTTTTCCTCAAAAATACACTCTGCGGGAATAACAATACCGCCTTTTCGAATCAACCAAATTTCATAACTTTTTTTTGTTGCTAGATGGAAATATTCTTCAGCCCGCATCAATCTCTGTTTTTCAATATTTTATTCTCAAACTTTATAATATGTCTTAAAAAAAGATAAGAAGCATTTTTTTTACAAATTTTTTGAAATAAAATACAAAATCAGAGATTGATGAGAGCTGTAGGATGCCTTCTTCTTACAGATAAAAAAATAGTCATCAAAATCCGACAATTCTACAAAGCTTGAGAGTTAATCCCATAAAGTCATTTCTTTTCGATATAATACACCCTATTGACCCTCCCCCCCTTAATAGTTATCAGGCTGTAGATTAGTGGAAGAGTGGTATAATTGAGGTGGCAACTAAAATATAAAATTTAATTTTCAAATTGTATAGAATTGTGGAAAATTTGAAAACTGGCACCGTGACCCTTAATAGAATATTTAGTGGGCCATGATTAGATAATTAGAGATAAGTGAACCATTACAATAATAAATTGATTGTTTATTTCATACTCGAACAATGTAGTGTATAATTTTCAAATGTTACAGATATTCTAAAAATATTTACTTTTTTTCAGGGTAAGTTAATTGTATTGCTATTACATTCTTTTTTTGAAGTATATTAGGTATATTAAATATATTTATAGACTTATAAATTGATTTTATAATCATAACAGTAAATTGAAGCTGTTCTACTTTTACATTATACTTGGATATTTGGGCACAACACACAAAATATTCACAATATAATTTATAATTTTATTTTACGAGATTTTTTCTGACACCTTTACATTTTATAGACGGTGAAGTTTATACTAATTTGTGTTTCCGGTTCATTTTAATATTATTTACTTTAGAGTAATTTACATCAGGCACAGCTCCCTAATCCCACTATTAATAGTAATTTGTCTTATTTTTGATTCAAATTCTTTTTGAATCTTTTTTTTTCAAATTGATATAGTTGTGTAACGAACAGCACGAAATTTTTCGGTTTGCTGAACGTAATTTTTCTATATTCTACTATTGTCGGACGGAGGAACACAAAAAGTGTGTATTCTCAAATTGGAAATATTTTAGTAATTTAGGCTCAGAATTAATAGTTAATAGATAATTAAAAGTGGGTCAATAGTTATACCTGGAAATTAAAATTTTAATTTTAATTTAAAAAACTTTCAAAAACCAAAACCAAATATTTTTAAAATTTGCTCTTGAAACCGAAAAAATTGAAAAAATTTTTTTGAAACAGAAACCAAAACAAAAAAAATTGAAAATTTGTTCATAAACCACAAATAAGACCAGAAAAATTAGAGAAACGTTCTAAAAAGTGAAACTAAAACCGATCCCTGGTTGCAGGTATAATACTGGGTAGTATAATATATATTACTAGAATAATTACATTTCAGATGACAAACAAGATATCAACAAACATGTAGGCAGTATGTATAAAAATAATAATAATAACAATAATTCAATTTTAAGTATCATATACCGTGTCCATATATACATTTCTCTAGGAACCGCTTTTTGTAATTATTTTAGTTATGAAATGAAATTATTTAAATGTTATACAATTAATTCTATTAAAAAATTTAAATTAAACACTTTTATACGTTAATACGTGTTCACTAAGAAACTGTTTTTGATGCCAATAATTTAATAAATATAAAACCAGATTATGTATGTATTTATTGTAATAATTAATTGTTTTTTTTTGTTTAGTAAAAATAGGTAGGTATTTTCATTGAGTTTTTGTTAATTAAGATATCAATATTAAATTATAGAATACAGTTTGCTGTAGTACTGTTTACTGATAACTGAATTATAGTATGTCGAAAAAGACAGGTTATATTAAATCGATATAATCCCAATATTAATGATATTTTAAAAATACAGAATTTATTGCTCTTTGTCTCTAATTTGTGTAATGCCTAAAAATCTCAGAAATGTTCTAAAACCACCACTCATTAGTATTAAGTGGAAACACTTTATCAACTGTTGATGATGTTAATATTATTGTTAAATCAGTTTCCTACCAAGAATAAGTCGAATAATATAATCGCGTCCATTTCAACTAGTGTGCTATACTGTTATAGGTGTGTAGTTTGTGATGATAGGCTTCGATAAAACTAACTTTTTAATTTAATGTATACGATTATTCATTATTGATAAAAATGATAAAATACAAATATAATAACTATGTACTAAATAATGTACTTTGGCAAATTCCCTTTAATTAGTAAATTGAGTTAAGTTTAGTATTGTTTCAACATTTTGGATTAGGCATACAACGAACGAAATTAATCAATACGATTTAATACAACATTTTTTTAAGAAATTTGTACCATTGCATAAAATATATGTTTAGGAACTTTCATTCACTCTTGTCACTTGTTGGAAAATTGGGAATACTATTGAATATTATGTAAAACAAGTATATTTTCCGCCAAACTGGGATATCGGCGAATTAGGATTCAGTGAAATGGGCACGAATTGTTCGAACCTACAGTGAATACATAATAGAACAGGAAATAAGTACTGTTTGACCGATTAATCGGCAACTATAATAGTTCAAGTGGTTCTAGTTAGTTAAAAAAAATTGTCTTTAGACCCAGCTCTGCTGTGACAAGATTGTGAGACGTTGGATGAATCGATTTTATGCTGTAAAAATAATAACATTTATCTTACCATCTCCTCAAGAGAACAGTTAGTTTTTTAAAGGTTGATATTTTGATGATATTATAATATTTTTCAAATTTCAGTTTTTACAACATTTTTGTACCACCATATACCTACCTATGTATTGAAGAAATTAATATTTCTATGAAATTCTTCGACCGTCCTTTAGAGGACGTGTTAATAATTGTTAGGATTATTACATAATCATAATCGCACGAACCTAAGTCTCATAATTTTGTCACAGCTGAAGTATGTTTTTACTCAAAAAGTAACCGCATCCCTTTTCCTAATTTAAGTTATTGGCATGTTCCTGCGAGTGCGAGAACGCCGATTCTTAGAATGTGGTGGTCGCGGAGCGTTGACATACATTGCAGTGTGTGCCCACACACACTAATGTTCATTTACACTCCCTCAAATTAACATGGCCCGGTTGTACTATTAGCTAAGATATAGTTTTGTATTCTGTCTCAAATCTATAATAGTTACAATGTTGTCAACTAAATATTATTTCTAACTTTTTATAGATAACATCAGTAAGTTAAATGTCTATTTTTTTTAAATTATATGCAGAAAGATGAATTAGGCAAAAGAATATTTTTACGCAAAACCAGTTTTCGACAAAATTGGTTGTGATTTTTGGTGTTTTTCTAAAAAATAAATTATAACCGTATAGATACATAAAATGTTCACCGAATGTTTATATTAGCATTTTATACACCTTAACATTTTAAAAATATTTTGACTTTTACATTAATATATGAATTTAGAATTTAATTAGTTTTTTTTTGAAAATTATTGATTAGATTTTTTTTGGGGTTAAAACCCTTGCCAACTTTTTAATATTATATTGTACAGGGTTATTCAAAATGATTCATCCAATTTAAAGTGCTTATATTATTTTAACTTTTAGGTTTAGAACAATATGTTATACATTAAATAAAAGACAAATATACCAAGTTTAATTCGGTAGTCAAACTCATACCATACTTTTTGCAGCATATCTTTTGTAATCGACTCCGTGGTTGTTGTTATTCAATTTTTCAATTCATCTAATTTGATGGTTGTGGTGCTATCAGATCTTTTATAGCCATTTTAAATTGGATGAATCATTTTGAATAACCCTGTATAATAAGTTTTATTACAATTCATATCAAAATATAAACTAAACCACACGTAATTGTTTTTTTTTTTTTTTTTATCTAGATCTATATAATAGTAAGTAATTTTTGGATTTTTATTGTATTATGAATTCCCTTGTTATATTATTCTGTTATGTGATACGTTTTCTATGCTATAATCTATCAAAACAAGCCCAAAGCAACTAACTATGTAGATGGCATGACTAATATGTTTATACAAAGTTTCTAAAAAACCATTAATTATTCAATTTTATAAAACTCGTAAAAGTCCACAATTTAAATTTTTAAACACAGTTATCTATAGTATTTAATTATATTTATATTTGTTTACAGGGGTGGACGGTACGTACATTTTTGTTTTGTTCTTTATATTAATTTTTTTATTTTTCATTGTTTTTATAAGATGTTCCTAGCCTAGGCTATCTACATATATGGATATATTTTGTACAGATTTGAGTTTTGACTATTTTAAAACGATAAAATAATATTACTGCTGTTTATATAATAATAAGATAATAATAGTAATAATAATATGAAAATTATGTATAGTTCAGAATTAAGTAATAAAATTAATAATAATATAAATCATATTTCTTTTTTTGCAGATGAAAATAGTATGTATACTCTATGCTTATTGCTTTCTGTCATAGTATTACTTTTCCTCTTCTGGAATGACTAGATGAAAATCCAAAGTTTGTTAGAACACAGTGTTTGTAATTGGTTCAGGTTCTTATGCATTTTAATTTTTATATTTGAACATAAACTTGCCACTTGCGGGAGGGAGAGACCGCCTCTCTCTCTCATACATAAAAGACCACTTGCTTTGTATGCTATAATGGCCTATCCATTCTTCTAGTATATATATGCTAAAGAAAATTGATATTCATTACTTCGCGGTTTAACTAGTTGGTTATATAGATTACTTCAAAATAATATAAGCGTTATATAGATTACTTCAAAACAATATAAGCGTTATATATTGTCTTAATATAAGTGGTGAAACTATTTGATACTGTCTAAAATTTGTATTGTAAGTGTTATTTGTAAATACAAATTAATTGAACATTATGGTTTACAGGAATGCTAAGTACGTATTATTTAGTAATGTTATTTTGTGTGAGACATATCATTTTAAAGTTTTAAAATCCGTTAGGAGTGAGGAACTATCAGTTTCAATAGTGTGTTTTTTTTATTTCGTTTCTTGAAACAGTGAAAATACTTCTATTTGCTACATTAAAAGTGATTTTTAGTGGAACTATATTAGATCTATTTAGTATAATTGGTTGTTAAAATTAAAAATACCTAACTCTGATAACTATTCAAAATGCATGGAATAAATTTATAAATAACAAAAATGTTCTCGATACTCAAGTTTTTGAAAAATTGGTTTTTTTTATTATATTTCCATTTTGAAAACAACAATCTCTTTTACAAAAGTCATTACCCAAAGAATATTTTATGGTGTATGGGTAGTGGAGCATGGATGAAGTTATTAATCACTAATAATTATAAGTGATACCATTTCGTTTCAAAAAATAAGAACTGTATAGACTTCTATTATTTTTAAATTATAAGCGGAGCAATGAATTAAGAAACTACAGATATTTTTACGAAACATCAGTTTTTGACAAAATTAATTTTGAACATTGGTATTATTCTAAAAAAAAAAATAACCGTATATACATACAATCTTCACCGAACGTTTATATGAGCATTGTTATACACCATAACTATATTTTATAAAAATAAAAACTAAACCACAACTATTTATTTTTGTTTTTTACATAGCTAAATTTTTCTGTACGTAATTTTTGTGTATTTTATTGCATTATGAATTTACGTGTTATATTAATATTTTAAGTGATATGTTTTACATTCTATAATCTATCAATTATTGTTATTTTTACAATTGACATTCAGTATCAACTATACAAAAAGCCCAAAGCCACTAACAATGTAGATTGCATGACTAAATTATGTTAATGTTATGGATTTTTTATTTTTATTACCGACATATCTGAAAAAATATTAATTATTTAATTTTAAGATAAAAGTCCACTATTGACATTTTTAAACACTGTTTTCTGTAATATTTTATTATATTTATATTTGATTATAGCTTACATCGGTACGTACATTATTGTTTTGCTTTTTATATTATTAAATTACATTTTTTTTTGCGATATTACTTTTTAAATTAGATTTGAATTTGTTATCATATTTACTTGAGATCAGTCTGTCAAATATTCCTAGTTTTATTGTCTGACCGCTGGAACTACATCCATACTCCGTCTACTATACTACTATAGCATAAGGTCTATGGATGTGGGTTGTGACTAGGGTTGCCATCTTTAAAACATAGCAGACCCGGAGACAGCCCGATAAGCAAAAAAAAAGTTATTATCAAAAGATACGTCTTTTTGTAATGTATAGCTTAGTTTATGAAGTGAAAAGATAAGTAAAGAAATTCAAAAAAAAATATTAGTATCATAATATATTTAAATTTAAATTGCTTTCATCACTCCACAAATGTCCTTTCCTGGTGAGGCGGCAACCCTAGTTGTGACTGACATCTGAAGCTGCAGGATGGCAATGTTGTGAACCAACAATGACATAATATT